CCCGTGGCGACACGGGGTCGTTTAACTGCGGGCAGCTGCTGAAGCGACCTCCCTGAGGGCTGCCCGAGCGCCTCCCGAGCTGCCCCCGCCCCCGGGCTGTGCAGCTGCGGGGGGGGTGTGTGTGTGTGCTAAACTCCGCGGTGCCCGTCGGCGTGAGAGCGGCAGGGAGGGGGGGTTCAACGCCTTTTTTTTAGGCAGGGGAGTTTCAACGCCCAGATGAGGTGGCCCTGCCTTCAGCAGGTTCTGTGCCCACTGTTGGGGCAGGGCTTGAAGGTGGTTACAGTGTTAATCGTTGAATTTTAACTCGGTGCTGTCGGTCTGTCAGAGCTCTGGTTTGATTTTTTTTCCCCTGGTTGTGTAATTTCAGTTGAGGAGCTGTACTTGTGCTCTGTAGAAGTCCAGTTTTAGTTGCAGTTTTGCAGGGTTCAGTTTATTTATCCTTGTCATCAGTAAATTGCCACCATGTATATAGCAAAGCGTAACTTTCAAATGTTTGTTACCTAGAATACAAAATATTTATTAAAATCCTGTTGTTTTGTTTTGTTTTTCATAAACAGACCTTCCACGAACTAATTTTAGACGTTTGTCATTTGATCACTGCAGGTAAGACAACAAATTAACGTTATCGTTATTAAATGACGCATCTCTTCATCAGGATGTTGACGTTGAACTATGACTGAAGCCACGTTCTTCCAAGGTGGTTGCTTTCATTGACTCGTGCCTGCCATGACAGTAATGCAGCAAGAAAAAAATCAATAAGAACTGAAACATTATATGTACCTTCCATGATTAGTATCTGCAGAGATTGAATCTGATGGCTAAAAGAATACACAAGTGAAAAAATAATTCAGAACAACTATCACGTACGTTCCAGTCTTTAAAATCTGTGTAATCAGGACTTGAATCTACTTTTCCCTGGTCAGAACATGCTTGGACAATCATTAATTTTTCTGAGGTAGTGATTTGATAGATTGAAGCAATATTTATGCTGATTTTTTGTGTTTAGAGTTTACTGCTTGAAATGCTAGAGTGAAAGAAGGGAGTTAGTAGAGGTGGGTTACAAATCCTCTTGTAAATCACATAGTTCAAGAAGTTACAGTCCACATCTGCAAACCACCGCTACTTGGGTAAAAGCTGGGTGGGTTATGGAAGCATCCCTGACGGGGGGATGCTGAATGTGATCACCAATCACTCCCTAACCTGTTTCAGCGCAAAGACAGTGAGCATTTCTGCGTGAACCATGTTTCGTGCGGGTGGGACCTGACATGGCAATGGAAGCAGGTTGGGGAGTATTACAGCATCTGCCCCTGCGGCTGTATGGCTGTGAATGCTGGCGGCTACAAGTTACTGAAACTGCACTGGTTTCTTTCAGTTTCTTTCACAGATTTTATTGTTAACCTAATTTATGAAGAATCAGGTAGTGGGTATTGGCAGCCACTCAGTGTTTTTATTGGTATAGGCCTTGCTTTAATGTGTAAGTTAATCAGCAAAATGTTATTTGCTTCTGTCATCATGATTTCCAGCTGGTTTTGCTAAAAAGAATGTGTACTTTTTCTTCTAGTTTGTCTCTGCAGCCATTTGAATACCCAGTTTGCACACCAGATGGGACGGTCTTTGACATACTGTAAGTTACTGTCTTTACTTAGCTTTACTTCTGTGTTGCCAAACTGCTTGGTTACAGCTACGTAACCATCATTTGGTCTTAGCAAGTTGACAAAAATATTCATGCCCATCAAAAATTAAGGTTTCTGATGGTACTTGTCTCTTATTACTTTATCCCTTCTCTTTTCAGGAGTATTGTTCCTTGGATAAAGAAATATGGAACCAATCCAATCACAGGAGAAGTAAGTAACGATGGGTGTATTCACATGATGTGTTTGCTTTCCTTATGTTCAGTTTCCTATTTAACGTGTGGGAGAAAGAAAAACGCCTTAATGAAAACAAAAGAAGTTGAATGGGAGGGCTGTTTTGAAGTATGACATCTGTAAGATCAGCTTTGCTGAAATTAGTGTACAGACTTATGAGGGATCTCTTTTTAGCTTTTAAAAAAAAAAAGAGGGGGCTTTTAGATTTGAGACCTGGTATCCCCTCACTGTCATCCTGCTAATGATCTTTGTAGTAGAAAATAATCAGCCTCAGACTGCGTGTGCGGAGGAAAGAGGAAAGTTGTTTTTTTTTTCTTTTTTGCATTGGATTGGATTGTAAATACTATGGTGGAGGAAATGTGCAGTTCATTTATTTAAATCCCGGAGTATCTTGCCTTTCTTACAGGTATGGCATAATTAAAATCTGTGTAGATGGAAATACAAGCTCTTTTGTTACTGCTAGTGATGCCCAGAGAGCCTGGCTGGTCAGTGATGGAAAAGGCTCTGTACTGCCGCCTCGTATAAGCAGAACTCTAGTCCATACAGGGCAAGGTGCTGGCAAGCTCACCTCTCCATCTGTGATTAAACTTGCAGTGATGTTTCCTAACCAAAATACGTTTGGCTTTATGCAGATTGAAGAGGTTATAGGTGATATTATAAATGGTAAGCTTAAGCTGCAAAATCTTTTGAGTTATCTTGACAATATATTTCAGAAAGCTTCTGACTTGCCTGTTGTGACAGTTCACTGTAAGATGGGTTCACACTGTGATCAGCACCTCAGTGGTTTTTCTCCCCTCTTTTTCTGCGTAAATGATAATTATGAAGGGATAATCTCTGTAGTAGTGTGAAGTTGTAGAGCACCAGATAAATATGAAATACTGGAAATGTTTCCTTGTTGGAATTTTTTTTTTCTGGTGTGTTAAAAGAGAGTGCATAGTTTGTGAAGGCATAGAGGAAAACTTTGAACAGAAATTGTTGCTTCATCTACTGAAACTTGTAATTTCCTTCAGTAAGTGCAGTTACTTTCCCGAGCATCAGGTGGCAGTCATTGCACAGGATTGTTGGTTGGTTTGCAGATGGCTTTGTGGTAGGAGATTACCTTTGAAACATCTTGTGTTTGATTAGATTTTCCCAGCAGAGAGATACGAGGAGAAGCTAAATACAGATGCAGCATTCCAAACTCTAAACATGAACAGGCTGTCTGAGACTTGATATCTTCAGTTATAGCAAACTGCAGGTGTGTTTGTGCGATAGAGAGATGATTGAAGGTCTGTCTTCAAACACGAAGAGGCCAATGTATTGTTGAGAAGGAAGGAATTACAGCTATTTCATTCGTTTTCACCAGCCTCCCACCATCTTGCTGCTCTGTGCATTTGCTGGGAGTTTTGGGGTGTTGCCAGATCCATTTTTTTCACTCAGAGCAGCTCCATGACACCTGTTCTCATTTCAGACTGTGAACCATGATGTGGTTTAAAATTACTTTGGGTAAATGCTAAGCAAGAATTGTAATGTGTCTAGTGGTGACACTGGGGAGATTGTGCAGAATATACGTGGTGAACCATGAATGCTCAAATAAAGTCTGACTTTGAGATCTATTCGTTTACCCAGACTTGTGCTTCTGTAGTTGATCTGCAGTGTACCTCCAGGTCTCCTCAGTATGCATCCCCTTTTCCTCTGTATTGCTCTGTTTGGGGAGCCCTTTCTTCTTCCCTTTTATTTCATGGTGGACTTGTGCTGTACAGCTCTGTCATTCACAGGACCAAGGTGTTCCAAACCACTCAGAAGAAAAAGGAGATGCTTGCTCTCCAGAACAGCACACAACCCTGCTGCACCCAGCCCTGTGGAGCCATAAGTTGAAGAGTGGGGTTGAAAGAAATGTCATAATTTGGCCTTTGTTTCCCGGAGGGCCAGCTCTGGTTTTTGGAAGGGGAGGACGGTGTTGGGTAGGGAGGGGATGGAGGTGCTGGGACAAGGCAGGGTAGGTGGCAGAAGTCAGTGAGTTGAGCTTGGACATCTATAGACTGTACTGCCCTCTCTTTAATCTATCGTGCATGCACCTTCTGTTATTTGTACAGCTTGCTCATTGTAGAAACTCGAAAATATTTTCTGTAATGAGATGGTGACTTACAGAAACTTAAGATTTCAGGTTTGTTTAAAAAGGAATTGAGCCGGATTAGCTGCAATGCCATGTTTTGTATGGTGACTTATGAAGTTACTTTGCACAGATTGATGATTCGTCATTGGTGATGAGGCTCTGGAGAATTTTCCCATTTTTTTGTCCTGAAGTTAAAAATGATAATGAAATCCTTCGTGGCTTGTACTTCTGTTGTTATGGTTTGCTACAGGCCAAACATTTTAGAGAAGTCAATAGGCTACTTGGAAACGGTGTTGTTAATGGTGCACTCTTGATACTCACTAATTCTGTCTGGCTGCCTTATTTCTGAAGTGGACCCCTCAGTGGAGAATTAGCCTTGCAATCATTAATATATTTATCTTCCAGTGCTCCCAGGGGGTAGGACTGTGCTAGTCTTTTATTAATTGGATGTTTGTGAACTGATCTACAAGTGACTTCTCTGATTCTTCCGAGTCCTAAACTATTGGACCAGCCCTCCTTTTTAAAGAAATTTTGCAGTGCCAAGATTGCAGTTATTCTTTGATATGTTTACAATATTTTTAATCTTTTTTTCCTTCTTTATACTTCCTCATGGTTTATGGTTTATTTTTTCTTGCTTTTTCTGAACATTCTCCTGAGGTGCAGTATGGACACCAATATCCGTTTAGGAGAAACAAATCACCATTGACCTTTGTCTAGAGTTTCCCATTAGCTATTCCAGAAAGTAACTTCAGAATTTTTCCCCCCTCTTTTTAATAATGCATTGTGGTAAAAAATACTCCTGTCACTACACCAATAATTTTGGAAGAAACAGTGCATCTCTTGCAGCTGAACTACAGCCTGTCAGATGGCATTGGCTCACTTACTTTTTTTGTCAGCTTTGTCAGGACACTGCCCTAGCTTATGTTTACACTAAAATTGCATGAAATAAAGAGGAAAGTCATAGTTGGCTCATTCCGTTTTACTGAGAACAGCACTTTGGCTTCTTGAGCTTGCAGATAGTTGCAAGCTTGCCAGAACATTTCACGTAGCGGCGGTATGAGAGCAGTGACCAGCATGCCTACACAAGTCAGCCAGCTGGGCTCAGGAGTACCTGTTTCCAAGAAGTGAGATTGGTCAGAGCATGTCTGGTTTGTTGGAATCTCAAATATGAACAGATGATAGATCAGCATGCCTTTTGACAGAAATTTCAAGGAAATTGTTCTTTGTTGCATGGATATGTTATGTGTGGGCTGAGCTATTTTTTTCCTTTGCATTGTAATGTTTCTGATGTAAATACCTGTTTTTCCATTCTGGTTCAGTGACATTCTAACTGCATGTGGGCAGGCCAGATTATTGTGGTTGTAATTCAGCCCCATTCAAGGCTCTGTAACCTTGGGCAAATATCTCTCTTCCACTGTATCGGAAATAGCTACAGTCTTTGTCCCTTGTTCCCCCATTTCTCTGGGAGTTTAGTTCTTTTGGACAGGTGAAAGTCAGTTAATCTCTGGTGTTTGCATCTAAGGCTTTGTTCCAAAGTCAATTTTGTGACTGTTTTAAGTGCATCTGCTTTTAAACTCATATAGAGGGCTCACCTATGTCAATTCTTTCTGCACTGCTCAGAGCAAACTAAAATCCGTGTGTCTGCTGATCCTGCATAACCCAGAGAGGCAATCCTCATGTTAAGGGCCACGTGCAGCTGTGAGGTTATTGCGTATGTGTGTCTTGAAGGGCAAACAGGATTCAGTCAAGTTAATTTAGCTTGGGCTTAACATATGCCTAAGAGTCAGGTTAAGAGACCTGAAGATGCTGTGCAGTGGATGTATGAGATGAGGAGACACATTTCTGGTCTGAACGAGGCAGAGCACAATTTGTGTTGTGCCCTGTCTCATGCAAGGTTAGGATCCAGACCTACAGGGCAGAGAGAGCTTCTTCTTAAATGTCACAAGATTTTAGCTTCTTACTAGGTTAAATAGGAAAACTTTTATAAATTCTGAGGAATTTTTTTTTTTAGGGCTAGGAAAGCCTTTTGCTTGGGCTGCCTCTGAAGATAACCATAAAAAGGAGTCTGGGGCATATAAAGAAATAGTAGAAGGCAGAGCCACTGGCATGGAAAATGAGGACTAACTTTGGAGTCAGAAGGCTGAAAATCTCTGACTTTTCCCAGTAGGACATCTGCTTCCTTAAGAGAGAGCTGTACCCAGAGTTTTGCTCTGTATACAAGATAAACATTTGCTATTGTTCTCCACACTCTTAATCCTGTATTTACCAAATAAAAATTACTTGGGGTGAGATTATGACGAATATGATCAAATAATTGTGGCAGTACAGGTGCCTGCCTCATGCAGTAAGCCTGTCTGATCCACACTTTGAAAGCACCCAGAGATGTACATCTTGTACCTGCAATGCCCTGCAGCAATGACAGAGCCTGTAGCAGACACCGCCTCGCTCCAGCACTGCTCCCACAGGAATGTAAGCAGTCGCCTTTTTTTTTTTTTCTTCAATCATTTGTTTGAAATAAGGTTGGTAGGATGATGCTTGCCTGAATAATGACAGGCACTTTCAAAACCAGTAACTTCTTACCCTCAAAATTAAAAATTGCAACCAAGTCTGTTACTTCAAAACTTTGGAAAGTCATTCTCAAATACATTCTTTAAATATGTTTATTAGCTAATTCCTCTCCCAAATGCTGGTGACTATTGTTACTTCATTTTATTGTGAAAGCATGGTTTCTTTTCAGTTTGATCAGCTAGATTTCAGTCTCAGAAATCAGTTGCTGGTCTTGTGGTGAGAGGAGCTTGCTGACCAGGTTAATGGAGAGGATATGGAGAAGATTGTTCATTTTTAAAGTGGGATTAATAAATTCGGTGGTAAAAAAGCAAACAAC